TGACTCAGAAAATACCCTCTTTTTTTAAGGTTTTTTTTTTTTTTTTCTAAATGTGTTTGGTACAGCGTCTCACTATACAGCTTGGACTTGTAGTGAAGTCAAGTCAGCCTCCCCACAGCTGGGATTACTGACATGTACCACCACACCAGGTTCAGTGGCCGGCTCTTCTGGCCTTTGCGGGGGGGGAGGGGGCTGCTTGGTATGTGGTACCGGGGATCAAACCTGGGTTCTTGCACTTGCCAGGCAGGCACTTAGATGGCTGAGCTATCTCCCTGGCCACCATTTTTTTTTTTTATTAAACCTTATTTGACAACAACCAGGCCCATTCATGTATGGATTTTCTGTAGCTATTCTCACACCGTATCAGGGCAAAGTGGTAGCAACAGAAATTTATGGTCTACAAATCCTAAAATATTTATTATCTGGCCCTGTAGGAAAAATCTTAACTAATCATGGCCTAATAACTCTCATTGAAAAGCAGTGCCATCAGAATGGATATATAAAGCAATATGTCATTATCTGTTAGCTATAAGAAATTAACTTTAAGGGTTACAATGCAGCCAAAGTCTCTTTTGAAACAAGACCTCACTAAGGTGTCCACGTGGAACTCCATCTTAAAATCCTCCTGCCTCAGCCTTCCAAAGTGCTAGAGAAAGTTTTAAAGGTTTCCTACTACTGTTTCTCTTTGCTATGGTTTGTGTCTAGATGCCCTCCCAAAGCCTCACGCAGTCTATGGGGAAGCTTCTAGAATTTGTGATTGATTCACAGTCTAACGCTGGGATTATGGGTGTCAGCGCTACATCCGGTGTGCATACAATTTAAGGGAAGGAAAGCGGTTTGCTCTTTCTGCTTCTACCTTTTCTGCTCTTGCTGCTTTTGCTGTTTTCCACAGCCAAGAACTGCTGCCCGCTGCCACGTGTCACTCTGCCTTGGAGCCAGCGGAGTATAGATTGACACCTCCACAAACTGTGAGCTAAATAAACAATTCCTTCCTTAATTTTGGATGCTGGGTATTTTGTCCCAGCGATGAGGGAAAATAAACTAGACACTCTTTTTATTGCTGAAACTAAATTTTAGTTCCATTCATGTTCTTCTTCTTTTTTTTCTTTATTAATTTTATTGAGAAACAAATAGCAATGAGACAGTTTCAAAACTGATTTGGACAGTTTCAATAATTAATACATTGTGTATTGTTGTCTTCACAGTGGTTATTCGTAGTACAAGATGCAGACATGATATCCTGCCCAAACACTATTGGTACAAATCTTTCTTATTGAATTAAGAGAAAGTAGCTGTATATCTATCCTAACTATTTTGCATATACAGATACAAAACGGTCCTTCATTTGTATCCTCTTTTTTGTTCAGTTTTGTCAGAGATGGGTACTCCATTGCCATTTAAATATTGTAGGTGCATGAATTCAGCAAAAATAATCCAATATAGTCCAGTAGTCCATAATTGTAGTGGGTTATCCTTAGGACTGGCAATATCAGAAGTTGTTGACTTGAGCCTTTTACAGCTCAATATATTAATATGGCTTCACATTTTCTTAATATTATTTCTCCTATTTTCCATGTTTTTAATAGATTATATTTTAATTGAAATCCTTTTATTTTGTTCTGTTTCTACCTTTAAAAATCAATCTTGCTCTTGTTTTATCAATATGTCCTCTCTTATTCATTTACAAATATTGATGGTCTTCTGTTTTGGGATTTGAAAATTTCCTTTCCCTGCATGAGCTCTATCTACTTTCCTCAGGTCTCATCTTATGTCCCAATCTTATTCTTGCAGTGGTGATGCTCCTGTGACCCTTGACCGTCTGCATCTGTTTGGGAAAGGGATTCCAGAGAGCTGCTAAAGCTCTGTGCAGAGACGAGGACTTTAATCTTGGATCTCACATCAGAATGTTGAACCAGCCCTATTTATGGGAGACATGATCAGAGTCTTTAGTTACCACTCCCTTTTATCCAGCCCAGTTCCCAGGAGAAAACCTCCCCCATGAATGGAGCCCAGCTGCTTTCACCTAGGGTCTGCCTAGGAAGGTGATGGGGAAGATGGCAGCTTTGTCTCAGTCTCCTGTGTCCTAAGCCTGGAGCTTTCACCTCAGGTTTTTGAGGTTTCTCCTCTGAGAGATTTTTCTATTTTACTCTTTCTGGAGGGGAGTTCCATGTTCTGCCAGAGTTGAGGAGGAAACAGAAAGGAAATCCAATGGTCTAAGTGCTCCTTAGTTGGACTTGTTTCTAAAACTTGGAGTTCTGGAATGCTGTGGACCTTTAAAAGCTGGGCCTTCTGGGAACTCTTGAGTCTTTGGGGAGTGGCCCTTGAAAGGCATTATGAGGCCTCTGTGGTCTTACATTCAAGACATGACTCCCACTTCTGCCATGGTCATCAACGGCAGCCACACCAGTGGGGGCCACAGATCTTGGCAGTGAACCAAAATGAAACCTCTGTGTTTCACAAGAAGTCCATTTCAGGTACTATGCTGTAGAGGAGGGGGACGGATTCGTACAGCAAGGCATCGTGCTGGGAGGGCGCACATGCTTTCTATTGCTGCTAGAATGAATAGCTGCAAACCTAGTGGCACAGACAACACAGTCTTTTCTGATGGTTCTACAGGTTTTAAAAAAGAGTTATTTGGGATTCACTTGGCTAAAACCATGTTGTTGGGAGCTGGTTTTACTTTCCGAAGGCTCCAGGGCACCACCCATCTCCTGGCTCATTCAGGCTTTGACTAATTCATTTTTTTGTGGCTGCAGTCTGGAGGCCTCTGCTCCTTATTCCCAGCTTCTACACGGCACTTAGGATCCTTGGCTCCTCTTCAAAGTTAAGTCGACTCTCTGGGACATTGTGTGTCTGCCTGTCCTTCTGTCATCAGGTTTTTCTCTGTCCATAGCAGGGTGTGTGATTACCTAATCATGTGCTCAGGTTGGTCCTTCTGAATTTCCTAGGAAAATCATTCTCAGCACCCTTGGGCACATCTGCCAAGAACCTTTAGTGATGTATGATAACAGATTCGTGGGCCTCAGGGGTTAGAATGTACATATGGGGGATGGTATTATTCAGCCCACAATACACAACATAATCAGTATATTTAACTGGAAATCCCTACTGGTAAGTCCTTAGGAAATGCTCAGGAGATGGACCAAGACAGGGCTGGGAAGTAGGCCTGTAATTCTAGCACTTGGGAAGCTGAGGCAGAAGGGTCATGCGTTTGAGGCCAGCCAGCATAGGATACATAGAAATTCAAGGCCATCCTGAGCAATTTAGTGATACCCTGTCTCAAAACAAAATCACGACAACTACAAAAAATAAGGCTGGCTTGACAAGCCATAACTATAGGAAGGCAAAGATGCTGAATGTTTCAGCACAGAAGATACCAAGAGGCTGGAGATGAGGAATATGGATGATTTGCAAACAGTTAACACATTTCTGTGTATAAAATCGAGCAAATTTGTTTTGAATACATTCAGAAGAAAAAGCTAAAATTAAAGAAAGCCATAGGAGGTAGATTTTAGCTCAACAAGAGAATGTTCTATATGAAGTGCTGATCAAATACTGGGTGATCTGCCTCATGGAATCATGACCGTTCTGTGTTAATGTAGTGGTGGGGACAATATACTAGAAAAGTTAACATAATGTTTAAGAAGTCACACATTCAAATAGTGATACTGATTATGCTTTATGTGGCAAAGAGACATTGAAAATAGTCTATAAAATGGCTATTTCCTATTCCCAAAGAATTTTGTCATAGGATGGATTGTATACCTAACTTTATTCTTGTTCTTCATTGTCTCCATCCATGTATTTGATAAACATTTACTGAACACTCACAATGGCCACACACCATCCTGGGTGTTGAACATGCATCACTGAATGAACCAAAGAAAACTGTTCTCAGGAGGTATAGCAAACGACAGGCCTTCTCTGGCTGTGTCCTGCCTGGGAGGCAGTTCTTACATTGATCCCTTTCCTTGTGCCTCTTGGCATGACCCTCACTCAGGCCTTTGTATCTCTTAACTTCGCAATTGTAGTAGCGCTGAGATGTTCTTGTCTTTAATTGACCTAACACCCTGATTGTGGACTACTCCGTTGTATGCAGTGGCTGATTGTCTGACTTCTCCTGCCTCTTGCTTTCAGCTGAAATCAGCATGAGCTCCCTAACCCAGCTTTCACTGCCTGGCGTCATCAGGCTGCAGCCACCTGTGCACCTGGGGTGCTCATCCACATCTCTTTTATTGTACTCAGGAACTCACTGGCCCATCTGTGCTCCACACCTTCCCGTGTGCTGTGCTTTGCTCCCGTCACCTTGCCTAGAATGACTCTTCTCTAGCTCTGAATACCCAAGTCTTGTCTTTATTCCAAATCTCAGGTCAACCATCATTGCATCTACAGAGTTTTCTGTGATTTACTCAATAACGTTACCTCATCTGGAGCTTACTACAGCCGTTCCACATCTCTGATGGTCATTCACAGGCACAAATTATCTTTCTCATTGCATACAGTTTTGCAAAGCAGAACCTCTGCCGGGTGGAGTTTGTTATTCTGGCTGCTATACTCTTGTGAAGTAGAAGTGTTGGAACTGAGTTCTAGTTTAATTTCTACTGCTAAAAACTGTTGAGTGTGTACATTTGCCTCAATCTGCACAAGGAATCCTGAACAGTATCCTTTGGATTAAGTGTTTATGCAAAGCAGCTGGCAAAGGGCTTTCTCTTTCCTCATGGCAACACCCAATATCTCTACAGGGGAGAGGGCAGTGAGGCCATTTGTGCACTGCCCAGTTTCTGTGGATGGTTTTCTGAAAGTCATAAGAAGGAATAATCATCTTTCTACAATTAGCAACAGAACTGTGAGGGTCACTTTTTGGAACTATTGAATAGAGTATGGGCGACCAGACAGATGAGCTTGCAAATTTGAACCTGAATTTTGGTCAAAGTAGAAATAGGTGGTCAGCATTCTTCCCTCTGTCCCAGAGGACAACTTTGGGAAAATCAGATCTGTACCTGAGCAGGCGACATGGCAGTGGTTATTCTCCTGGAACGTCTTGTCTCTGCACCATGTGAAACTATTTATCTGGAAAATGCCGTAGTCAGTGCTTCCATCCTCAAGGGTGGTTTGAGCTGTTGTGTTGTAGTGACTCTCGTAGTAGGCCATGCAAATCCCTGTGGGTGGGTGACAAGCCAGAGGTCAGGGGAGGAAACATATTGCATGCCTGTTTTAGGGCTAATTCCCTCATTCATGTTACCTCCTACCTGGAGACCTTCCATGTGGCAGTGCAGGTGGCACCTGTAGGGGACACTCAAGGGACAGGGATGCCACACTAGAAGGTGTACATCAAGCCAGATGCTGTGCCTTGGTGCTGGAATTGAGGTCTGTGCCCCACAGCACCAATAGGGTGGTATTGTTTTCCTCTTCTCTGGCATCATAAGCATGGGACCCCAGGAGTAAGGACAGAGGACCCCAAGAGGAGGCAAAGGAATGAAGAACAGAAGGCGAGGGAACATGTGACTCCCTGGCGCATCTCTACTGAGGCCCAAGCATATAGAAGTTAGAACAACTCTGTAGGTAACACCCACATTAAGACTCCTCAGAGGAGGCTCTGAGGCCAGAGAGGGACTGGGGAGGAAGAAGCCTCACAGTTTCCAAGGACAAAGCCTTCGTAGTTGTCCAGGCCAGCTCTCAAGAAGATTTTTGCCAGTTTACAGCGAGTGTAGACTCTGGAGTCTGCGACTGTGACCAGAAAGCTAATCAGGACCAGGACCCCAGTGGACTTCATCCTCAAGGCTGTTCAAAGGCAGAATCTGTCAAAGATCAGACGAGCAGTTAGGAAATTTTGACTTTTCCCAAGGTCATATCTGTCACGCACGCAGATTTTCTAACAGCTGAGACTGGGAACGGCCCTGCCGAAGTTATTCTTGTCCCTTTCTCTCAATTCAGAACTTCCAGCAGGGAAAGAAGGGGAAGCCCTAGGCAGGGCAAATACTGTGCGTGACGGTAGAAGTTGGTGGGCTCTTTTCTTACATAGCTACATTTGTACCCAGGACCAGGAAAACAAGGAAATGATGCCTTCCTTACTTAAATCCAGGTGAAAGTCACAGGGGGGTTTGCTAGATTCCCATTTCAACTCAATAGACAGACAATAGTAGCTACAAAGGGAATAGCATGGCCTGTATATGTAGACACTCATGCTGTGTTGCAGGCAGAGAGCAAGTAGATGTGGCCTTGTGAGGACAACTTGAAGATCTACTCTCTGGGAGTTCAGAGAAGGGGAATGGGTAAGAGTCCTATTCTTTCTTCCATTCCCCCTTTCTGATGCTTTTCCACGTGTGGGAGCATTGTTTCAAAAAGTCTTTTGTCTTATTCTGTGATTTTATTGTTTTTCTGGGTTTCCCTACTACTGCCACAGTGGGGCCCCCAACAAGCCTGTCAGCAGACTAGAGGGTGGGCAATGGCAGTGGGTCACAAGAGGGGGACAGATGGGTAGGGACAGAGGCCCTGGATCAGAGGCCTCTCTCAAAGCTGGAGTAGGAGTAAGAGCTCTTCTGGCTGTGATTTTCAATAAGCTCTTTCCCCATGAATAATATATCTTCCTGAACTCAATAGCCTTGCTGGAAAAGGGGCAGACTGAAGTTTCTGAGTAAAGTAAACTCATTATTTATGCAGATTTCCATGTAGGAGTATTTTCTGTCCCTGCCTAGGGACTTTTCAAGTTATTCATTTCTCTTATGGGCACCGGATTCTCCCTCTGAGGGGCTGGGCTACATACAGAAATGAGAATTCAAACCAGGTCCAAGCAGAGTTGCAGTGGAGGTGTCAAGGTCCCTAATCATGGAGGCCACACCTACTTGTGCCTCATAAGGGTTTGCAAAGAAGGCCTGTCTTTTAAAATTTTCTTGGTAAAAAAAACCTCGCCCATGTGGTAATAATATACTGCCCACAGTGCAGAGAGAGAGCTGAGTAGTAATTGTGTCAGCTGGTCTAGACCCCAAAACCTAAAATATCTATGATCTGACTTTATAGAAAAAGTGAGCTGGTCCCTGGCCTATGGTGTCATGCTAGGCACTTTGAAGTGTATAAACAAGACCTAAGATGCAGAACTAAAATTATTATAACTAAAATTCATTTCCATCCCCTGCCTTAGAAGCTTATTGGTCTCAAACAAATCAGAACAGGAGCCACAGCAATGATAGGCCCAAGCATTGCGCTCTACAGCCTTCAAGCCAGGGATTGCTACTGCTTATTCTTTGGAACATGTAGCTTCATCAGACTTACTTTGTTTTATTTTATTTGTTTTTAAGACTGGGACCCACTAGGGAGCCCAGGCAGGCCTCCTGCTTACCAAGGCCCTCCTGTCTCAACCTTGCAAGTGGCTGGGATTACAGGTGTGCCCCACCATGCCCCAGCAGCCAGAATAATAGTCCTACTGAAAAACCAGATTCCTATTGTTTGCTCCCAGAAACTGGCTTCTCAGATGATAGCATGAGATAAACCTAGCTAGACTTACTCAGTCAATGACCCGTAGCTCACTCTTGGAAGCCATTCCTGTACAATTCTCACAGGGCACGAGTGAGCCTTCCCTCACACCAGGACCTGTTTTTAGAGCTTAGAGAAGGCAGAATTCCTACTCCTTTATCTTCAGTGCCTAGAGATTCTAGAATTCTACTTCTCAGTACAGAAAAGCCATGGAATCCTATGCTTCTAACACCCTAATTCAACCACCCGTGAGGCAGGTGATGACCACGTTCAGGATCTTCCCACCTCTCTTGATTTCTCCTCCTCAGCAACCTTCCTCAGTATAGAACTTGGCCAGCCCCTGCACAAGGGCTCGTTTTTACAACAGCAGTTCCCCCACTTTATCACAAGTCTCCCCAAGAGAGAAAGTGAACCCGCAGTAGGTGTATAGTATATTGTAAACCACAGTCTTTTACTTCCATCCTAATATACTACATAAATTGTAAACATACACAAAACTGAAATTTGAAAAAGAAGGTGATAGTGAAACTAATATTTGCAGTTTTACTAAGAGCACAACATTTCTGAGCTACAGCTGAATTGTTTTTGATATGATATTTTCAGGAAGATTAACATACTTTTCAAAGCTTTACTATAAGACTTTGGTAATAGTAAAGGGCTTGACTTTAAGTTTCATTTGCTTGAATTCTTGGGTTTAATGACATATTTGAAATTAATTTTAGATGAGATATATTGATCTAAGTAGAATCTCAGTTGTACTTTATTTTTATTTATTATTATTATTATTATTTTTAATGTATTTAGCCCAGGCTCTACAGGATCTCACCACACACAGTGGACTCATAGTGATCCTCCTGTCTCAGCCTTCCCAGTGCTGAGATTATAGGTGTGCACCACCATGTCCAGTTTCAGTAGTCAGGGCAAGGCCTCGCCCAGGACCTGCATGGCATGTGGTGTGGGGGACCAAAGCCGGGTCACTGCACTTGCCAGTCAGGCACTGGCACTGCTGACAATCTCCCCAGCCCTGTCAAACTTCTAAGACTGATGATCTGAGAGATGGAGCATGTTACCTCGGAATAGTTTCAATCTATGTTGCCCTTATTTGGGGCTGCCTGTGGATTTTTTTTCTTAGGTAAAGGTGCTATTTGTGGATCTTTTCATGAAAAATATACACAAGATGAAGAAATGTGTGAATTTATTCTTCAAATACCATTTTCTATGTGCCTTGAGAAAGAGATTTTGCCCATCAGTGAAAAAAGACAGCCTGTGTTTTCTTCAAAAACACCTGCTAATTTGTTTGTCATGAAGTAATATACATGTGAAAGACATTTGTATTTTTACATACTTTACAATTTCTTGCAGAGTTGCATATAGACTTACCATACAAAGTAACATCACACTCTGAAGTATTTATCCAAGTGAATAAAAAACCTACCTCCACACAAAACAAAAATCACCAGAAATTGGAGGCAATAAAATGTCCTTCCTCAGGGGAATGTATAAGCAAACTCTAGTATGTCCATATGGTGGAGGATTACTCAGCAATAAATTGTTCTAATTTTCACAGAAATATGTACAATACATTTTGTGAAGTGAAAGATGCTAGGTGTAAAAGAAACATATTGTATTTGTACAACATCCTGTGAAAAGAAAAACTGTTTTAATAGAAAATATCTCAGTGGTTTCCAAGGATTCGAGAAGGATTTGGTAACAAAAGCATCATATAAAGGAAATTTCAGGTCACTGTAGCTGTTCTTTGTGGTACTGTAGTAAAGGTCACAGGACTTCATGTGTTTGTCAAAACCATAGGACCATACGTCACATATGCTGAATTTCATTGTGTGAAAAACATCCACCAGAATGCTGCAGGATCCCACAATGGAATTGAAAATGTGGCAAAAAAAAAAAAAAACCCTAACTGTACATGAATGGGTGGCACAACTGGGCTAAGGAGTGGGGAAAGAGTCGCTCAGCTAAGCAACTAAGGAAAGTAGTGTTTTTACCGGATGCTATAAGATAAAAACAAAAACATATGTGCAAAAGCTCTGTAGTAAATGTAAGTGATAGATAACCTGTTTCCCATAGGATTAAGGTTTAGTCATTCTGAAAAAATTGTATTACGTATAAGCAAGGGTTAAACAAGTCAATAAACTTATTGTACACGATGGTAGACAGAGTTCATGCTGTTGGAGGAAGATGATAACAAATGAAGAAGAGCAGAATGAACCTTGTGATATTGGATTAGAATCAGAGTCTGTCTGTCCGCCTGTCTGTCTGTCTGTCCGTCCATCCATCCATCCATCCATCCATCCATCCATTCATCATCTATCTATTGTCTGTCTCACAGATGCAAATGTAAATATAGATATACATGTATACACTAGTATACATGCATTTATTTCTTAATTACATCTGTTCAGAGGATCCACAGTGACACTCCAGGAGCAATGATCCCCTTTATCACCAGGTCTTGCTTTTAGTGCTATTTTCCAAAAAAGGAGCCAGGAAGGGGCCAGGGATATATAACCCAGTGGCATAAGTGCCTCCCTGGAAAGCATAAAGTCCCAAGTTTGATCCACAGTAGTGAAAAGGAAAAAAAGAGGCAGGATTCCTTGGACAATTGGCTGGCCTTACGACTAGGGTAAGAAAAGCCCAAGGTGAGCCTGAATCATCTTGTTAGTATAAGAAAGTATGGAAGTATTCAAAAAGAGAAAATCAGCATGCTGGATGCACTGGTTGAATATATCAAAGAGATAAAGAGCCAAAGTGAAAGAATCACCAGTGGCCAAAGCTGAGACAATTTAACTACAAAATAAACAACCATACTATTGGATTATTACACAGAGAATAAAATAAACACCTATGAAAATATACTGATTTAAATGAATGACAATAAAGAGATACATAGAGAAAGCTAACAAATCTTGCTTATGGAAACGTTCTATATACTTGGTATATCTTATTAGTAAGATCCAGGAAATGGGGTTTAATTTTCTTCATTTTGGGTAAGGGATGAACTCAGCTACTTGCTTACAAAAGGCCTAGAGAGGAGAAAAATCATAACTTTCTAGTGAGGAAATCAGGTAGAGCCCATCCCAGCCAAGTGGTTGAGGCTACCTTACCGTGTACAACATTGTAGCAGGACAATCCTATGACATTTTGGTCTTGTCTCTTGTTCTAGAGTTGACAACTTCTGACATTACCAGTCCTGCGGATAACCCGCTACTATTATCGACTACTGGACTATATTGGATTACTTTCCTGAATTTATGCACCTACAATATTTGAATGGCAATGGAATACATATTTCTGACAAAAGGAAACAAAAAAAGGGATGCAGGACCATTTTTTAGTGAAAAAATGTATGTACAAAATAGGATAGATATACAACTACTGTCTCCTAGTTCAATGAAAAGAAAGATTTGTACTAATAGTGTTTAGACAAGATATCATGTCTGCATCTTGTACTATGAATAACTACTATGCACATAATATGCAATGTATTAATTATTGTAACTGTCCTGCTAATCTGTTTTTAAACTGTCTCATAGCTATTTCTTTCTCAATAAAATTAAGTTTAAAAATAAAGTGACTCCCAGATAAGTTAGAATCTGCTAGTTATCAGATGCCCAATGTTCATCTAGTGCAGGAAAGTTCAGTGTATTTGAAATACTCGATTAGTATAATATACAAATGGTGAACTAAACTTTCTGTCTGAAATCCCTTTAACTGCTTCACCAATGAGAAACTCACTATACAAGTAGTAGAAAAAACTCCAAAGTCAGTCTTCTCAATAAAAACCATTACAATACTGTATTCTATTCTTTGAAGACCTCATTTTTATAAGATTGGCCATATTGAACATGGATGGTAGGACCTTATGTCTCCCAAAGGGCCACACATAAAAGATGTGGTCCCTAGAATGCTACCACCGGGAGGTGGTAGATTCCTTAGATCTGGAGCCTAGGGGAGACTTGGGGTCACTTGGCGAGCCCTTGGAGTGGATGGTGGATGCTGCTTCCCTTTTGTCTCTTGCTTGTTGGCTGTGAGAAGAATGGTTTGGCTCTTCCACAGCTCTCTCCATGATGGGCTGCTTTTCACAGGCCCCAGAACAATGAGGCCGATCCATCATGGACCAGAACCTCACAGTTGTGAGCCAACACAAACTTTTATTTTTACAAGGTGATGAACTCAGGTATTTTCTTATACTGATTTAAACCCTACTGCAATTGTCAATCCTCTTGTCCTACTTATTTTGTGTATAAAATGGAACTCTACTAATAATATCTATTCCCTCTAAAGTGCTGTGCTTTGCAATACACAAAAGAAGTGATTGAATCCATTCTTTTCAACCCACTTATCTGGAAGCCATAAAAATTAAGAGCCATAGAGAGCACAGATAGAGATAGTCAAACTGGAAACTCGCCTCACCCTTTACTAAAGGGACCAACCAGGAGAGAAACACAAACAAATCAAACATAAACTTGGTCACCTTAATGGTGCTATTGGCAGTGCTTAGCTTTTGGACGTGTGCAGCATGCATGTTCTATGTATGTCCCTGCATATGTGTATATATATGTACTGTACTTAAAGCACACAGAGCATAAGATTTCCTGTTTCACCATTTTAAAGTGTACAAACCAGGACCTTTAAAGATAACCACAATGTTAATCATCCATTGTTGCTGTTGAGTTCGTGAACTTTCTCATCACCCCAAAAAGAAACCACATTGTCATGAAGCAGCTACTTTCCATTTCTCCTCACTGCAGCCTTGGTAGTCATTTGTGCAGTGTCTCTATACATTGGCTTGTTCTAGAGATTTCCTTACATGGGCCTGCAAGGTTTTTATTAGTGCTTTTCAAAATGTGGTCTTCACCGCCGCAGGCTGGAAACCACCTGAAAGATGTGTTAAAATGAAGTTTTCTTGATCTCAGTCCACTGAATTGGAAATGAGGGGATAGCAAGGAAACTGAGTTTTGACCTGGAGGAGGTGAGAGGCAACTGGCCCTCCTTCTGTCATGCACTAATGTTGATATGGTGAGCTGTGTCCTTTGGACTCAAGGGCCATTTGACAATGAAGCCACAACTGAGAATTAACCACTGAAACTGACTTTGTGTAAC